AAGAAAGTGGGGAGAACCGAAATCGGTGGTGCTGAATGAAGAATGCTTGACGGTGGTGTTGAAAGAGCCTTCGGGTGTGATGAGGACCACAACCCTTCCACATGCTTTGGTTGCTGAGGACCTATCTGCGTAGCGGGTCCACCACTTGTCCGTTTGTGCCGAGGGCTCTTCCACCGCTGCTGATCTTGTCATGTATTCCATCACGAAGTCGGCCAGGGCTTGGTCCTTTATGACAGGCCTCGGACGAATGTCTATGTTGTATTGGCTTAGGAAGATGGCCCATTTTATCATCCTAGAGGAACTGGTGGGGATCCGCATCAAGGCGCCGAGGGGTTGGTGAGTGAGGACTTGCACCGGATGGGCTTGGAAATAATGGCCCATTTTTTTGACGGTCCAGACGATAGCTAGTATCGTCTTCTCCACGGGGGAGTACCTGAGTTTTGCTTCCCGGAGGGTCTTGCTCACATAGAAGATGGCGTGTTGAATTCCGTCTTTCTCCCGGATGAGGACTGAGCTGATTGCTGCGGGGCTGACGCCTAGGTGGAGATATAACGTTTCTCCCATCTTGGGCTTTGAGAGCACCGGAGGTGACTATAGGTATTGTTTCAACTTGTCGAAGGCTACATGGCACTCAGTAGTCCATTGGAAGTCGGCGGTCTTTCTCATTATTTGGAAGAAGGGAAGGGACTTCTCCGCTGATTTTGATAGAAAGCGATTCAGGGCCGCCAATCCGCCTGTCAGCCTTTGAACCTCCTTCACGTTGCGTGGGGGCTCCATGTTGATGATGGCCTGGATTTTCTCAGGTTTGGCCTCAATACCCCTTCGGCTCACCATGTAGCCCAAGAACTTCCCTCCTTGCACGCCGAAGGTGCACTTCTTTAGGTTTAACCGAAGGTTGAACTTCTGCATGATGGAAAAAATCTCTCGTAGGTCATCAGCGTGGCTCGTGAATTCCTTTCTCTTTACGATCATGTCGTCGACGTATGCCTCCATGGTGCGTCCCAACATGGCCTGGAAGACCCTGGCCACCATCTTCGTGTAAGTGACACTAGAGTTTTTAAGGCCGAATGCCATAACTAGATAGCAGAAGATGCCTTCGGGTGTCATGAAGGATGTTTTCTCAGCGTCCTCCTTGTGCATGTGGGTTTGGTGATACTCTCGGAAGGCGTTGAGGAATGACATGATTTCACAGCCCGTTGTTTCGTCTACCAGTTGGTCAATGTTGGGCAAAGGGAATGGGTCCATGGGACATGCCTTGTTAAGATCAGTGTGGTCCACACACATCTAGAATGTGGGTGGCTTCTGCGCGAGGACCACATTAGCCAACCATGAGGGGTATTTCACCTCCCGGATATGTTTGATGGAGAGGAGCCTAGTGACCTCCTCCTTCACAAAGTCCCTCCTCTCATGTGAAAGGAACCTTCTCCTTTGCTTGACGGGTGTTCCCGAGGGGTCCACCGCCAGGCGGTGGGTGATAACCCTCCTCTGAATTTCGAGCATGTCCTCCGAGCCCCATGTAAAGACGATGGCGTAGGCGTAGAGGGCCTCGGCTATGCCGGTCTACAGTTCTTCTGGGAGCTTGGCTCCTATCTTCACGACTCTCTTCGACTTGGCCGGATCGAGCGCAAAGTCTTCAACCTCCTCTGCTGGTTCCGCCCTCGGCCTCTTTTCTTCGTCTTCTACCGTTCCGGTGATGGTATCCACATAGAGCTCAGTCTTGCTAGCCTTCTTTGTTATCTGGAGGTTGTTGTGAGCATAGTCGAGGGGTTGACGACGACAAACTCCACTTCGAGCTTGGCTCTATGGGAGTCTTCGCCGAAGAGAACCGAGAGGGATATGACCCCTTCGTAATCAATGGCGTCCCCGGTGAAACCGGATAGGGGGGTCCGGGTATGTCGAAGGGCTTCCCGCTTCAGATGCAGCTCCCTGAATGTGCTGAGGTAAACTACGTTGACGGAGTTGCCGATGTCAACGTAAGTTCTGTGGATGATAATATTATTGATCTCACTTTGGATCACATGTGCATCTCTGTGAGGAAGAGAACCCGGGGGAGATCCGCGTTAGTGAACATAATGGGATCCTACCTTGGCCGCTTTACAGGGGGCATATGATTGACCTCCCCCACGTAAAGGGATTGTGCCCACTTCTTCCTTTGGCTCGCGGAGTCTCCTCCCGTGTTGCCCCAGGTGATCATATGGATGTGGCGCTTCTTCGTTGAGGTTCCCAATCTCCCGCTTCTTACCATTCGGATCTCCAAAGGGTATGGTTTTTGGGTTGATTCAGGCATTTGCTTTCGTAGGGGGGCCTTGATGAGGGGGACCCCTGACGAACTGGGACAGATGGCCCCTTTCTATCAATTTCTCGATAGCAGTCTTCAGCTGGTGATAGTCGTCGGTCTGATGCCCTGGGTGACAGTGGAAACGGCAATATGGTTCGTTGGGATTGGTTGCATACACCTCCTGAGTTGCCCTGGAATCTCGCTCCACCAGCCCCCTTTCCTCGGCGTAGTCCAAGATGACGCTGACGGGGTGCGTCAGGGGGGTCCGAGGGTGCTCCAAAAGCGTAGGCTGGGCCTCACTGAGGATCCACGGTTGCGACACTGGAGGATGGTTGTCGCACATGTCTGGGTGATGACTGCGACACGTGTCTGGAGGATGGATGAGATGCGCAAAAAATGTTACGACAGTCTCATTAAGGCTATTACTGTCCAAACACAAATATTTAGTCTTATTTAAGAAATTTAAAACAATAGGTCCTATTTTTGTAATTGTCTCATCTTTTAGTCCTATTTTGGAAATTGTCTCATAAATTTATACTTTTATGGTAATATTTTTAACCAACAAAATTTTAATATTATGAATAATGGCTAGTATGTATAAATATATAACGGTTTCATATCAAATTTGACGAAATAAAAATGGACGGAGAAGTAGGCATCTATGTAATCAGGGACGGATTCAGGATTTGGAGTCAAGGGGGGCGATATTTTTTTCGTTAGTGTAGTGGGTGAAATTTTTTCCGCTAGTGTAGTCGGGTGCTTTTTTTTGCTAGTGTAGTGGGGCGAATTTTTTTTCGCTAGTTTAGAAAGGCTTTTCGGCTAATTTTTATTAAAAAAAGAATTCATAAGTACATACATGATGATATTTAAATACTTCCTCCATCCCAGAAACAACTTCTCGTTTTCCTTTTCGGATAGTCCCGAAATTAACTTCACACTTCTTCCCGGTTCCTTATTTGGCAAATCCTCTACATTCAAAGATTGCCAAACAGTACCAAACAGTGTCGAAAACGTGTCCATACAGTAAAATCTATCCCCAACATGTTTATTTCCTTAATATGTGTGAAAATGAAGTTTGAAGTTGTTTACGGGACGGAGGGACTATATTACATTCTAAGTTTAGACAATGAACAAATAACTTTGATTTTATAATTGTAAGTGCTTTAGAAAAAAAGTATTGATACATTAAAGCGTAAGAAATAGCAAATCAAAGGAAAATTATTTGAAAATAACAAAGGATATGTAACATTTTATCAAATTATTTCAAGGTAAAAGTTTAAAAGGTGCACAAGCACCAATGCTTTTTAAATAACTCATGTCATGTTTAACAACATGAATCTTATCGGTAAAAGGAATTGATTTTTGAATTACAAATTTTGTTTACCAAGAAGGGTGTTCGTGAGTCATGAGGATAGTATGTACGTAGTATGATATTATTATTTTTAGAATAATATTATTGAATTGCAAATTTTGAATTGCAAGTGTTGCTAATATTACAAAAGTATAGTATGTACGTAGTATGAGATTATTATGTTTAGAATAATATTATATCGTTGATTCTTAGATTGATGTCTTTTCTATATTTCATCTCTTTTTTCTTTTATCGTTTAGCTTCTTTATCTTTTTATATTCTTATGTTATTTTTATCTTCTAGCTTTTTTATGCTCTTTTATTTTTATCTTTTATCTTTCTTATATTCTTGTGTTAATGTTATCTTATATTTATTTATTTATTTTATTCGTTTTATCTTACTTCTTTTTCTTCCCTTTCTTGTCTATCTTCTTTGTTTGGCATCGATATCATAGATCGATTCACGTTAGCCGACTCCAAATTCTTTTGGGATTAAGGCTTGGATGTTGTTGTTGTTGTGATAAAATAAGTTAAAATTTATTATCTATGCAATAAATTATTTTTAAAGAGTAAGAAGTAAACAAATTGTGTAATTTTAGATTCATTTCACATGATCGAAAAACTGTTTAACTACTGTGTCTCGTATATAATATTGCTTAATATTTTAAAAATCGAGTAATAATTATCTAATAAATTAAAGATAATTAAACATTTCAAAACTATGAATTTTTATATAATATGTATCCTAAGTCTTGAACAATGAGTTGTTCTATTGTTTATTTGCTTAAGTTATGTGAATTATTTTAGATGTTTCATCTTTTAAATCTCCAATTAAGTATTACATAATGTAAGGTTATATATTAATTTTGAAAACTAAAAGTTAAGGGGGGCGAACACATATATATCTAATTAAAGTATAGAAATTTTATGAAAATATTAAATATATTGTAGAAAAATTTGAAAATCCAAGGGGGGCAGTCGCCCCCGGGCCCCCCTTAAATCCATCCGTGTATGTAATTGTATTAGCTAGAAACAAGGAAGGCCAATTTTTTTTCCGCAGAGGGCCCAACCCTGTTTTCTTGGGACCGGCGCTGGCCGTAGGCACATTGAAAGGGAATGTGGAGTTGAATTTAGGGAATACTCCATAAAAGACGAACTCATATTTCAAAGCTCGATCTTACCATAGTCAAATTCAGGTGCATGCATGCAGTCTTAAACTTTACTCCATTTTAAGTTTCATTGTCTGCAACGACTATTGTTTACCTTAACTTGCTTGCACTCCACGGCATAGCATATATATCTTGAATGTTGCCGTTAGTTACTCCGTCATATGTCTAATTTCCTAGCTGCTAGGTTGTTGCTTTCAATTCCAACCAGACTTAATTTGAACCCATCGACCAAAGTATAATTAGTTTTTTAAGAGATCGCCCGATCGATACAAAGAAAAAAACGTACATTTTAATTTGTTCTCATTAATAAGAATAACAGAAAGATAGAATGGAGAAAGTCATCAGAGGAGGAGGAGGGAGGAGGGCTGGCATTAAGTCCATAATATTTTTCTTCACAGTTTTGCTATTGCTTCTTTTGGATTCTCTTATGTTGTTGGCTCATCGCATTGTCTTGTCCACACAACAATCTTCGCAGGTACCTACCGACTCTGTCTTTTAATTTAGATAGATGCTAGCTCTTTCAAATTTCTGATAACTATCTATTTATATTAATTAATAACTGAATACCATACATAAAATGCTAAATATAAAAAATACATCTACCATTAACGTAAAATACGAGAAAAGCAAAAAGACGAGCTTCCAACAACCTAAGACAGGAATCGGATCAATTTAATTAATTAGGATTTGAATCCCGCGCCACCTATTCCAAATGTCTTCTTTACTCATTCCAAATACGCCTTTTTTAGTTTTTTTAAGTCATGTTCGGATTGCCAAATTCCAATTGGGATATATATAGAGTATAATTTATTTTTTGAAGTTTCAACACTAGAAAGTATTTAAGTTCATTTTTTTAAATACATTCATGTGCTAAAATTAAGAACTCATTTTTAAAATAATTTTTAACATGTTTCAAATTTTTTTAAAATGAGATTTTAAATAGAACAACTCCATCTAATTAACAAAAGTTTTCAATCTCAAACCCTCATATGGTTCGATTATCAATTTTCATAAATAAAACTTTATATATGCAATATTAGTGTCATAAGAAAAATCATCAAAAGTTATGAATTTTATTTAAATAATAATAGTAATGATAGTAATTATGATACTAATATAATAATGATACTAATCATGATAATAATAACAATAACAATAATAATAGGGAAAATCATACTTTTAGTCGCTCAATTAGTCACCATATTGAAATGTCAGACTCGTGTTTTTAAGATTCTAAATTTCACCCTTGAATTGATAGATGCATTGTAAATGTCATTCCCGCTGAATTTATTGGTAGTGCAAAATTGGAGATGAATTATAAACGGCGGGAATGACATTTACAATCTTAAAAACATGGGTTTGACATTTCAATATGGTGACTAATTGAGGGACCAAAAATTTGATTTCTCCATAATAATAACAAGAATAATAACAAGAGTAATAGTAACAGTAATAACAACAACACCACAACAACCACCACCACCACCAACAACAACAACAACGATGATGATGATGATGATGATGATGATGATGATGATGATAATGATAATAATAATATTAATAATAATTATTATAATAATAATTGAAACATTTAAATTTATCCTTTTATAATTTCTGAGTCTAGTATGGGAGTTATAACAATGTAAAATTGATTATTGACATTTTCAAAACATGTATTAAAAATATTCTAAAAATAAAATTAAATACTTTATTAATAACATGACAAAGAATTAGAGGAAATGTATTGATTTGGGTTATTTTAAAGTCAAACGGAAAATATTATCATCATAGATGAATTAAAAAGAAAACCTGCATAAATTTCAAAAATAAAAATAAAAAATTGAAAGGATGTAAAAGAAAATTTACTAATTTTGTTTGTCCGAAAATCCACACCAACAGTGTGATAAATGGCGGGTTCTATTTAACTGAGCATTTTATTAGAAAATGATTGTAGGAGTACAACATGGGCTTATAATTTATAAACTAAGCTGAGCATAATAATTCCAACAGCTTACCCCAAAGGAAATTACGTGGGCCTAATTAGAATGAATGTCTGAGCATAATAATTCCAAAAAGGAATATAGCCTCCTACAAACACAATAAAAACAAAGCTGGAGCCCTAGCTAGTATCCAGATCCTTTATTTGAGAAAGTAGAGCTAGAGAGTAGAAATTTTATTTAGTGTATTTACAGGACCAAAAACATATTTAAACCTTTCAAAAACTATTTATTTAGAGGATTCATATAATCGACTTTACTTCGATCAGGAAAAGAAAAGTCTTCATCTGCACGAAAAAGATGAAATTGGCTCAATTACGATGAATGATCGACTTTTAAACCTGGCTTCCAGTTCTCTAGCACAGGTATTCTTGTTCAAAATGTGCACGAAATAATTGTGTTTTTTATACTTGTATTTTGGCGCATGTTCTTTCAATAATTTGTTTATGACTAAATAATATGCAATACTTTGAAACTCAATATGCAGTACAATAATGAGTTAATTACCTTTATAGAAATTGTTCTAAATAGGAGCAAAAACGTTTTGAAATTCAAAATTAGGAGTATCATGTTTTTTATTCCCTGAATAGCATTAATCTGCCAAGTTTGGGGGAAAATGCCATGTTTTAAAGCCTAGTAATGCCAAACTTGGCAGAAATTTACTCTTATTCAAGGAATAAAAAACATGATACTCACATTTTGGAATTTCAAAACATTTTTACTCCTATTTAGGGAATTCTCTCTTACCTTTATAGAACTAAAAGTATAACCATTTGCACAAATAGGACTAAAAAACTAAACTATGTTTCATAGGACTTAAAATCACCTATTTGTACAAAAATGCCCCCATTCAACTTTTATTTGAATTTATTATTAAATATGTAAAATTACAATGTGATGAACCCTAAAATTTCAACATGAGCACTTCAGCCACCCTCGTGCCAACGCCTGCAGCCGCCCTCATCAGCGCCGCCGTCGTCGTCATAGTTGTCTTCGTCACCGTCGTCATCGCCGCTACCATCATCGCTGCTGTCGGCGCTGTCATCGCCGCCGCCCACACCATCGTCGTCCCAACCAGCGTTATCATCCTCTGCCGCCGCCCACTCCGATCGTTGTTGATGCCTGTTAGCAAAACCACCATGAGACTCGGATCTAGAGGCTACCACTACAACTCCAAGCACCACCACCACCATCACAACACACTAACGTCATAAATCTGCCATTAACTTGGAATATTTGGCCTTGAAGATTAATTTAAATCTGCCATTCGTATGAAATTTAAATCTGCCAACAAAGTTGGCAGATTGGTCTTGGAAGAATAATACAAAATTGCCATAAATTTAGCAAACATATGAACTCAATAACCAAATATTCGAAAAATAATTTTTCAAAGAAATAAAAACTTTAATACAATCGAAAATCACAAATACGAAACTAATGACAAAAAAATTAAAAAATCGATTTACACAAAGTCTATTCTGTCATAATTGATCATCAGTATGCACATTTCTGCCATAAATTTGGCAAAATCTTATGTCATCATCCAAAATTACAGAAAATCGGAATTTCTAAAAATTCCCAAATCTGAATCGAAAATACCTAATAGAGAGGTCCAAAAATCAACCAAATGAATGTCAAATCTAAAAAAACAGAAGAATAAGAGGAAAATCTGAAATATAAATGTTGAAACGCATAAGGAGGAGGAGGAGGAGGAGCCTCACCAAACAGAGGTTGCGCGTGGTGAAGTCGGCGGCGGGCTAAGCTAAGGAGGAGGAGGAGGAGGAGGAGGAGGAGGAGGAGGAGGAGGAGGAGGAGAAGAAGAAGAAGAAGAAGAAGAAGAAGAAGAAGAAGAAGAAGAAGAAGAAGAAGAAGAAGTCGATCTGTTGTGCAATGAAGTAAAAATCCATTGAATAGAAGGGGAGAGGGAGGATGGTGCACCAGAGAGAGGGAGAGAAGATGTGCATAGAAGAGACGCATGATCGGTTGAAGAGAGGGTAATAATGGAATGAAAAAATAGATATGTTTTAAAATATGAGTGATATGATCTTTTTTGAGAGTAAAAACATAACAAGTCCTATTTTTTATTTTTACCATACTTTTACTCCTATATGGAGTAATTTCTATACAATAATGTTAAGATGCATCGTACAACCGTTTGCAAAATAAGTAGAGTTAGTACTTCCCCCTATATATATAGGACAATTCATATCAGGCCAGCCTGACGGGAACCGTCGTGAAGCCAAAGCCATTTGGGGCCTTTCCGGTGGAATTTTTTGATGAAATCTTTTAGATTGTCCCAAAAATAGGAATAATTTCGTAAAATTGGACACATTACCTTTTTATTTTCTCACTTTATTCGTTTATTTATCATTTCATCATTTACCTTTTTAAGGATCCGTTTTCTGTTTCTTACTTTTTGGAGGTTAGAATAGTAAAAAATTACTTTATCCTTTATCGTGATAACATGTCATACATGGCTCCGCCACTGCACCAAGTCCATATGCATCTTACATATGGGAAGGATGTAGTATATACTTAAGATCAAGTGAGAACAATGTTTATCGTGATAACTGTGCGAAGAACACTTTTGAACCAATGTAATGCACTATGAGGTTTGTAAATTGCACTTTTCACATTGATGTAATATTTAGTAAACAGCTATTGCATATTTTATACTCACATGTTTTGATCAAAGTTTAAAAATTGTAACAGATAAGCCTCACAATGCGTCAAATTGGGTTAAAAGTGTCTGATAGCTTACCGGTAAATCGATAGTGGTATAGCTTTAGAGAGAAGGGAGAGCTAATAATAGAGATAAAGAAATTGCAATAAATGAGGTCTGAACCCTCTACAACTATCCCTAAGGGGATATTTATAGAGGGAATATGGAATGGGCTCGCAGATCTTGGGCCTGAGAGGCCCGATTACAATAATGGACCACTAATGAGTTGTTTACATGTGTTCCAATCCACTAAGGGCACTATGAAGATGTCTGATAATGATGGGTCTGAGGTGCATGGGTGCACCTTGGCCTTGCTGGTGAAGATGCCCATGTGAGTCTTGTCTAAGGTGTGTTCCTCTGAGGTGGGCATACCGAGATGATGGTATATACAGAAAGTCTGTTTCTTCTTATGGGTTGGGCTCTCTAGGTGGGCCTTATGTCCCTGGTGTCGGGTCGGACCATCCGTATGTCCAAGAGTATGTGGGTCGTGGGTCCAGACCCATATACTCTATCAGTGTCATTTTCTCACGTTAAGCATCATTCTCATTGGAACTTTTCCTATGCGTGTGTATCATCAATTTATATAATTTGGATCAAATGAGAATGTGTTTTAAAGAGAGTAAAGAGGATCAATAGTGCCCATTGGATTTAAAAATTATGTATTATCTTAAATATAAATGTGTACTATCATGAAAGAGAAAATGTAATGATGTTTTTGTTGATAAACTGAATTTTCACTGTCATGTCGGATTGTGTGGAGAAAAGTGTCAAATTGACTCTTCTATTATGTACGGAAAGTCAAATTAAGTCTTCGTACTTTATCATTCATCAATTATGTCCTTCTACTCTTGAAAATTTCATCAAATTCAATTTTTAGCGGGTATTCCGCCGATGAGCTGGTTATGTGCTGATGTGGCTAGGGGTGGGTAATAAAACAGAAAAATCAGTATACCGCATTTACCGTACCGAAAAATACCGGAAAATACCGAAATATTGATATATCCTCATTTTCGGTACGGTATCATACCGTACCGATTTATTTCGGTAAGGTAATAGTAAATGTTTTCAAATACTGCGATATACCGGTATTAATACCGTACTGACTCCCTACCCAACAATTACTTTAAATTCTAAAATATTGTAAAAGCACATTACAATTTTAAAGCCCAAAATTAATACTTAGGTTGGTTGCAAAATACAAAAATACAAAAATAAAGGACCAATTTCCCAAACCCACTATAACCTTCTAGGTTTCTACTACGTAACATTTAAACAAATTAACCCTAATGGCTAATGAGTAATGTACTAATGTCCATAAACGAGTCTATCTTCACGATGGCTGAATCGCTGAGTAGCTGATGAGTGAAGAGGGATACACTTATGAGACAAGTGTATCTACATAAAAATGATTAAATACACAATATCATATTAGAGATAAATGATTTTATATTCATGTTTTTTGAATAATTTTATTTATGTTTGTTAGTGATCGCTATTCATATAATTATATCTATATTGTTCAAGTTATTTTAGGAGAATGTGTTATTTTTTATACGTGGCATGTTGAACTGCTTACATATACTAATAATAAGTATTAATTGTATTTTGTAACATTTTAATAATGGATTAAATATGTCGCTAGTAACACCGATTTAGTATATTTTGTTAGTCTATGATAATTTGTTGTACTGAGCGACATGCATGGTCATTTACCGATATTGTACCATTACCGACCCGAAACTTCGGTATACCGAAATGCGGTATACCGAAACTTCGGTAAGGAAAGGTATATAAATTTTGTATACCGAAAATTTTGATACGAGAAAGGTATGAGAGAAAATATTCGGTATATCGTACTGAACCAGCCTAGATGTGGCACACACGACACACATGGCAACCCACTTCAAAATTTCTCTTCACTTTCCTTTTCTTTTCTTCTTTTCTTCTTTTCTCATTTTCCCTTCCTTTCTTTTCTCTTTTGTTGGTCCTCATGGTCTCTTGTTCCCGTTTCCCCCCCGTTGGTTTTACTCAACCACTAGCTGGACTCCATTTCTTGCAATTGGCGGAGAAGATGGCACCGGACAGCGCGACGAAGTCGGAACTCCTATGCGAGATCGACGACAAGGCATCGGATCGCCATTGGGGCTCCTCAGTCGGCCGCCTTGCGTAGCATCGGATCCCAAAATTTATTCAAAGACATGAGCTCATACTTTGGGAGGGGTCCAGCAGATGTAAGAAGAAATCCCGTTTGTGCAGCCAAGTGAAAGGCGAGGCCCAGCTGAAGTGGAAGAACAAAAACGTGGCCCATTGATTGAGCCAAGGGAGAAGGAGTGGATAAACATGGGTTAGTTGGTCATGGAGAAAAAGAAGGAACACGTGAGAGACTTGGGGAAGGAGTAGAATAGGTCTCATTAAATAGAATATCAATTTTAAGAAGCAACAGATGTTCATTACGAACAAAACTAGCAATATACATTTTGTACTAGAGCTCAAAAAGTTATTCGAAGTATTTCAATATTTTTAATTCATATTTTATATTTTCTCTCATTCATAATTAGTCCATTATCGATTCATATTTGTTCGATTCTAATTTCAATCTTAGATTAGTTTATTTTTAGCATAAACAATTTGGCGTCGTCTGTG